GGGACACACACCGTGACAGGGACACACCGTGACAGAGAGAGGACACACACCGTGACAGGGACACACACCGTGACAGAGACACACACCGTGACAGAGACACACGCCGTGACAGGACACACGCCATGACAGAGACACACGCCGTGACAGGGACAGGACACACGCCGTGACAGAGAGAGGACACACGCCGTGACAGAGACACACGCCATGACAGAGAGAGGACACACACCGTGACAGGGAGAGGACACACACCGTGACAGGGAGACACACCGTGACAGAGAGAGGACACACACCGTGACAGGGAGACACACCGTGACAGAGAGAGGACACACACCGTGACAGGGACACACACCGTGACAGGACACACACCGTGACAGGGAGAGGACACACGCCGTGACAGAGGACACACGCCGTGACAGAGAGAGGACACACGCCGTGACAGAGAGAGGACACACACCGTGACAGAGAGAGGACACACACCGTAACAGGGAGAGGACACACGCCGTGACAGAGAGAGGACACACACCGTGACAGGGAGAGGACACACGCCGTGACAGGGAGAGGACACACACCGTGACAGAGAGAGGACACACACCGTGACAGGGAGAGGACACACGCCGTGACAGGGAGAGGACACACGCCGTGACAGAGGACACACGCCGTGACAGGGACACACACCATGACAGGGAGAGGACACACGCCGTGACAGGGACACACACCATGACAGGGAGAGGACACACGCCGTGACAGGGACAGGACACACGCCGTGACAGAGACACACCCCGTGACAGGGAGAGGACACACGCCGTGACAGGGAGAGGACACACGCCGTGACAGGGAGAGGACACACGCCGTGACAGGGAGAGGACACACACCGTGACAGGGAGAGGACACACACCGTGACAGAGAGAGGACACACACCGTGACAGAGAGAGGACACACGCCGTGACAGGGACAGGACACACACCGTGACAGGACACACACCGTGACAGAGAGAGGACACACACCGTGACAGGGACACACGCCGTGACAGAGAGAGGACACACACCGTGACAGGGACACACACCGTGACAGGGACACACACCGTGACAGGACACACACCGTGACAGGACACACGCCCTGACAGGGAGAGGACACACACCGTGACAGGGAGAGGACACACGCCGTGACAGGGACACACACCGTGACAGGACACACACCGTGACAGGACACACGCCCTAACAGGGACAGGACACACACCGTGACAGAGACACACACCCTGACAGAGACACACACCATGACAGGGACACACACCGTGACAGGGAGAGGACACACACCATGACAGGGACAGGACACACACCGTGACAGGGACACACACCATGACAGGGACAGGACACACACCGTGACAGAGAGAGGACACACACCGTGACAGGGACACACACCGTGACAGAGAGAGGACACACACCGTGACAGAGACAGGACACACACCGTGACAGGACACACGCCGTGACAGGGACAGGACACACACCATGACAGGGACAGGACACACACCGTGACAGAGAGAGGACACACACCGTGACAGGGACACACACCGTGACAGAGAGAGGACACACACCGTGACAGAGACAGGACACACACCGTGACAGGACACACGCCGTGACAGGGACACACGCCGTGACAGGACACACACCCTGACAGAGAGAGGACACACGCCATGACAGGACACACGCCGTGACAGAGAGAGGACACACTCGACGTATTCGTCAAAAAAAACAAGTTTGTGACCTGCGAAGGGTTATTGCCCAAAACGTCACCTATTGTGTTTATTTCTCACCTATTGAGTTTGTTGTTGTTGTTAACTGTCCTTGCGTACCCACTGCCAACGCATCAGCATCACTAACCACGTGGTGTTAAAGAGACGTGCTGTATTCGAGAGTGATGCCAACACACACACACGCGCACACTCCGCGTTGAATACGCAGTGCCGCCGCCGTCGTGGTAAAGAGAGGCGATTTCATTCTCCGTGGTTAAAGAGTCGAATCAGAGTTGCAGTGAGAGATCGGTAGACCGGTGGGGGTGGGGGTAATTGCGGTGTCACGCGGTGCAGATAAAAGACCCCTCCGGACTCTTAACTCAGCATCACCTCGGAGCACGGCTGGCCACGGACGGTGCGCGAGGGAAGATCAGCAACAGATCGAACGCTCAACGGATGTTGGCATTTGAGCGCGGGTGTCTGTCCCCGGCGGAGGATACGCTGGCCATGTCGTGGCAAAGGCGAGAGAAGCGATGCACAGGCCACCGTGGCGTGCTTCGATGTTGTGCTGCCGGCTTAGTCGCACTTGGATGGAGAAGAAAAAAAACCTAAAAACCCTTTTTAGCCCATTGGGCTCTAACTCGGTGGGAGGTAAAACTTCTGATTTCTGGAGTCCGGCACACGGCACGGCAGGAGTGAGTGTTGTAGAGGCGGTTTGGCAGGATGCGGCTGCGTGTTGGGTGGGACGGACACGTGCGCGCGTGTGTGTGTGTGCACGTGTGGTGTGCGCGTGTGGTGCGTGTGTGGTGTGTGTGTGCGTGTGGTGTGTGTGTGGTGTGTGTGTGGTGTGTGTGTGGTGTGTGTGCGCGTGTGGTGTGCGCGTGTGGTGTGTGTGCGCGTGTGGTGTGTGTGCACGTGTGGTGTGCGCGTGTGGTGTGTGTGCGCGTGTGGTGTGTGTGTGTGGTGTGTGTGCGCGTGTGGTGTGTGTGTGGTGTGTGCGCGTGTGGTGTGCGCGTGTGGTGTGCGTGTGGTGTGTGTGCGCATGTGGTGTGTGCGTGTAGTGTGTGTGCACGTGTGGTGTGGCGTGTGGTGTGCGCGTGTGTGTGTGTGGGGGTGCGCGTGTGTGTGTGTGGGGTTGCGCGTGTGTGGGTGAGTGCGTGTGCGCGCGGGCGATGCGGGAACGACCACCACGTGGTCATTGCAGTGAGTTGAGTCTCCACGAGTCGGGAGATCCAGGTTAAGGAATAGGCGACACAGATCACCGTGTGAAATAGAGGGGGCAATCGGGCACCGCTGCGTTCACGAAAACACACACACATTACTTTTCTCCGGCAGTACATGTACCTTATAGTAACATTGTAACGAGAACAAACACACACACTGGGCACTGCGTTAGAGGCATCTTCGGGCACTGTGTTGAATAGAGGCGACCTCTGGCACTGTGTTGAATAGAGGCGACCTCTGGCACTGTGTTGAATAGAGGCGACCTCTGGCACTGTGTTGAATAGAGGCAACCTCTGGCACTGTGTTGAATGGAGGCGACCTCTGGCACTGTGTTCAATAGAGGTGACCTCTGGCACTGTGTGGAATAGAGGTGACCTCTGGCACTGTGTTGAATAGAGGCGACCTCTGGCACTGTGTTGAATAGAGGCGACCTCTGGAATTGTGTTGAATAGAGGTGACCTCTGGCACTGTGTTGAATAGAGGCAACCTCTGGCACTGTGTTGAATAGAGGCGACCTCTGGAATTGTGTTGAATAGAGGTGACCTCTGGCACTGTGTTGAATAGAGGTGACCTCTGGCACTGTGTTGAATAGAGGTGAGCTCTGGCACTGTGTTGAATAGAGGTGACCTCTGGCACTGTGTTGAATAGAGGCGACCTCTGGCACTGTGTTAAACATCAACAAGTAAAACGCGGTTAGGGCCAGTGGTCGTGCTCGGAGTTGATTGGCTCACATGGCGTTAAGGCTCGTGTGTGGATTGGCTGAGCGCCGGGCCACGACCTCTGCTCGCCATATTTGGTCATGGGCGAATCCATTAGGAAGGGTTTGGCGGGGGGGGGGATGGGCGGGAAAGTTCACTTGTGCTGGGGGGGGGGGGTCTCAAGAGGATTGGACTGGCCCTGAGGGCACCATGCGGCATCGAGTTCCCCCGGGGCACTGCGCACGAAGGCACCGCCACAAGGACCTCCTCAACGGAGTCGCGTCAACTTAGTTGTACCGGGTTAAGTCGCATTCAACCCGACTCGCGTGATCTCGGGGACGCGTGAGAACAACCCGATCCTTGTCTGAATCTCCCCCCCCCCCCACTGCGCAGAATTAAAACTTCTCGTTTAACAACGGAACGTTGAGCCAAAGATCCCGTCGCGAGAGGACTCGCCCAATAAAAAGTGTCGAGACTCGGGAGGGGGGGGGAAGAAAGTACGATTTGGCAAGAAGTGTTCGATAGGGCAAGGTAGGGCTGGATTCGAGCACACACATATATACGCGCACACACACGCACACACACGCACACACGCGCAAACGTGCACGCACATAACAGCCGACGTCGGTCGTGAGCGGGAGTCGAACTTGGGTGGCCAGGTTCGTAGCGCAGTGCTGCGCCAACCACTTCACCACCGCTTCCCGCTAAGTCAAAAAAAACAACAGTCACAATTCGCCACTAAGTGGCGGCGACGTCACCACGGCGCTTGTGCCAGGCCAGGTGCACTCCAAGGCCACGCCAAGTGCCGGATGCTCGCCGACAGCAGGTCACGGGGCAGTCCCAGGTGCCATGGGTATGAGTTTGTTTTCCTTACTCCGCACCTCCGATGAGCATGCGGACTAGATGACCATTCCGCCAATGCAGCCTTGCCCACCGCACACACGGTCACACACAGATACGTGTGCGCGCATGCGTGCGCGCACAGATAGGTACCATGTACAAAGACGCCAACACACGCGTGTACGCACACGAATGCATGCATACCTGTGCACGCACACACATACATGCGCACGTGTAACACGTATTCCCGAACCAAGCTTACTGGCTCACTCACACCTCCCAAGGTTGGGTTCCATTCAGGATACAGTCACATGCCATGACATCCACACAAGTATAAAGGGGTACCACTGACTGGTTGACTACAATTAGCACGGTTGGCTACGTACGGTGCAAAGGAAGTTTAACATACGCGTGTGTGTGTATGTGAATGCGCGCGTATGTGAGTGCTTGTCTTTGTGGGGAGCAGTGGTGTAGTGGTTAGCGCACCGCGCTACTAACTCAGCGCCACGAGTTCGATTCGCGGCTTGTTATCTGAAGCGGTCCTGGGCCTCCCGTGGGTCGACTCAGCCTCAAATAAGTACCTGGTGCGATGTGTAAACATCACCACTCGAGAGACAAAGGCGGCCGGGCCGTGGGTGCTGATCACCCACCCCTCGTCTGCTGTACTGGGCCTTAATAGGCGCTTGCAAACAACACTTGCCCAAGTAGCCTGGTAAAGGCTATACGTGGGGAGGAGATCTTTGTCTCTTGCACACGTGTACGTGTTTAAATCTTACACACACGTACGTGTTAAATCTTACACACACGTACGTGTTAAATCTTGTACACGTGTACGTGTTTAAATCTTACACACGTGTACGTGTTTAAATCTTGTACACGTGTACGTGTTTAAATCTTGTACACGCGTACGTGTTTAAATCTTGTACACGTGTACGTGTTTAAATCTTACACACACGTACGTGTTAAATCTTACACACGTGTACGTGTTAAATCTTACACACGTGTACGTGTTTAAATCTTGTACACGTGTACGTGTTTAAATCTGACACACATGTACGTGTTTAAATCTTACACACGTGTACGTGTTAAATCTTACACACGTGTACGTGTTAAATCTTGCACACGTGTACGTGTTAAATGTTACACACGTGTACGTGTTAAATCTTACACACGTGTACGTGTTTAAATCTTACACACGTGTACGTGTTTAAATCTTACACACACGTACGTGTTCAAATCTTGTACACGTGTACGTGTTTAAATCTTACACACATGTACGTGTTTAAATCATGTACACGTGTACGTGTTTAAATCTACTCGCAACTTTGCTTGTCCAAGTAAATTTGACACCTTATTGGTATTTTTGTTTTACAAAAATAATAATAAAATAAACAATAAAAACAATGATAAAAATGCAATCTTTAAATTCTGGCTAAAAAGTTCGACCCCCTACAGCCACCGCAGTATCCCTAAGACCCCCTTCCCCGTCAGATACTTGACCGCTTGACTCCAGGGATAATCCCCCCCCCCCTCGTCTTCACTGCGAGGTGGACTCTCCCGAGCGCTCTGACCACGTGCTGGAGCAGGGAGAGTCCATGCAGGTTGAGGTGTGGGGGGGGGAGTACGGGGGGGGGGGCGAGCGATGATGGCGGTGGCCCATCAGTCCTTGACGAGGCGGTAGATGTGATGCTGTGCTCCGTGTTCGCTGGTGGACACCTCGAAGACGTAGGCGACGCACAGCAGCGTCTCCTGGGTATCTCTGTTTGTTACCACCTGCACCACAATACACATCGTCGTCGTCGTCATCGTCATCCCAATCGCGGTCATCGTCGAGAGACGCTGAGATCGTCGGTTCGACATCTGCGCCTTCGGCGTGCCCCGCCACTGTGGTTGAACTGGGTCTCTCGACTGTGGTAGTGAGTCGGTGGTCCCAGCCAGCTCACCAAAGAACTCTGCCACCGAGGTTGGCGTGGCATTACCTTTCGTTTTAGCAGGTAACACAGGCAGGGATGTACAATTGATAGGGTTAAGGCGACTGCTGCAGCTATAGCGAGTGTCAAGTGTGGTGGTAGTGTCAAGTGTGGTGGTAATATCAGGGCTGGTGGTAGTGTCAGGGCTAGTAGTGGTAGTGTCAGGGTTGGTGGTAGTGTCAAGTGTGGTGGTAGTGTCAGGGCTAGTAGTGGTAGTGTCAGGGCTGGTGGTAGTGTCAGGGTTGGTGGTAGTGTCAGGCCTGGTGGTAGTGTCAGGGCTAGTAGTGGTAGTGTCAGGGCTGGTGGTAGTGTCAGGCCTGGTGGTAGTGTCAGGCCTAGTAGTGGTAGTGTCAGGGCTGGTGGTAGTGTCAGGGTTGGTGGTAGTGTCAGGCCTGGTGGTAGTGTCAGGGCTGGTGGTAGTGTCAGGGCTGGTGGTAGTGTCAGGGCTGGTGGTAGTGTCAGGGTTGGTGGTAGTGTCAGGCCTAGTAGTGGTAGTGTCAGGGCTGGTGGTAGTGTCAGGGCTGGTGGTAGTGTCAGGGCTGGTGGTAGTGTCAGGCCTAGTAGTGGTAGTGTCAGGGCTGGTGGTATTCTCAGGGCTGGTGGTAGTGTCAGGACTGGTGGTAGTGTCAGGGTTGGTGGTAGTGTCAGGGCTGGTGGTAGTGTCAGGGCTGGTGGTAGTGTCAGGGCTGGTGGTAGTGTCAGGGCTGGTGGTAGTGTCAGGCCTAGTAGTGGTAGTGTCAGGGCTGGTGGTAGTGTCAGGGTTAGTAGTGGTAGTGTCAGGGCTAGTAGTGGTAGTGTCAGGTTTGGTGGTAGTGTCAGGGCTAGTAGTGGTAGTGTCAGGACTGGTGGTAGTGTCAGGGCTGGTGGTAGTGTCAGGGCTAGTAGTGGTAGTGTCAGGACTGGTGGTAGTGTCAGGGTTTGTGGTAGTGTCAGGGTTGGTGGTAGTGTCAGGCCTGGTGGTAGTGTCAGGGCTGGTGGTAGTGTCAGGGCTGGTGGTAGTGTCAGAGTTGGTGGTAGTGTCAGGCCTGGTGGTAGTGTCAGGGTTGGTGGTAGTGTCAGAGTTGGTGGTAGTGTCAGGCCTGGTGGTAGTGTCAGGGTTGGTGGTAGTGTCAGGGCTGGTGGTAGTGTCAGGCCTGGTGGTAGTGTCAGGGCTGGTGGTAGTGTCAGGGCTGGTGGTAGTGTCAGGCCTAGTAGTGGTAGTGTCAGGGCTGGTGGTAGTGTCAGGGTTAGTAGTGGTAGTGTCAGGGCTAGTAGTGGTAGTGTCAGGTTTGGTGGTAGTGTCAGGGCTAGTAGTGGTAGTGTCAGGACTGGTGGTAGTGTCAGGGTTTGTGGTAGTGTCAGGGTTGGTGGTAGTGTCAGGCCTGGTGGTAGTGTCAGGGCTGGTGGTAGTGTCAGGGCTGGTGGTAGTGTCAGAGTTGGTGGTAGTGTCAGGCCTGGTGGTAGTGTCAGGGTTGGTGGTAGTGTCAGAGTTGGTGGTAGTGTCAGGCCTGGTGGTAGTGTCAGGGTTGGTGGTAGTGTCAGGGCTGGTGGTAGTGTCAGGCCTGGTGGTAGTGTCAGGGCTGGTGGTAGTGTCAGGGCTGGTGGTAGTGTCAGGGCTAGTGGTAGTGTCAGGCGTAGTGGTAGTGTCAGGGTTGGTGGTAGTGTCAGGGTTAGTGGTAGTGTCAGGACTGGTGGTAGTGTCAGGCGTAGTGGTAGTGTCAGGGCTAGTGGTAGTGTCAGGGCCAGCGTGTCAGGGCTGGTGGTAGTGTCAGGGTTGGTGGTAGTGTCAGGGTTGGTGGTAGTGTCAGGGCTGGTGGTAGTGTCAGGTTTGGTGGTAGTGTCAGGGCTGGTGGTAGTGTCAGGGTTAGTGGTAGTGTCAAGTGTGGTGGTAGTGTCAAGTGTGGTGGTAGTGTCAGGGCTGGTGGTAGTGTCAGGCCTGGTGGTAGTGTCAGGGCTAGTAGTGGTAGTGTCAGGGCTGGTGGTAGTGTCAGGGCTGGTGGTAGTGTCAGGGCTGGTGCTGTGTCAGGGCTAGTAGTGGTAGTGTCAGGGCCAGCGTGTCAGAGCTGGTGGTAGTGTCAGGGCTGGTGGTAGTGTCAGGGCTGGTGGTAGTGTCAGGGCTGGTGGTAGTGTCAGGGCTAGTGGTAGTATCAGGGCTAGTGGTAGTGTCAGGGCCAGCGTGTCAGGGCTGGTGGTAGTGTCAGGGCAAGCGTGTCAGGGCCAGTAGTGGTAGTGTCAGCACCAGAGCGTGAGGGCCGGAGGGAGGCGCACCTGCAGGATGGTGAAGTTCTCCAGCACGCTGTTCATCATGTACTTCTCGGGCAGGTGCTTGAGCTTGTGGATGAAGTTGATCATGTACTCGCACATCGGGGAGCGGTGGATACGGAACACAAAGCGGCCGTTCTCAAAGCGCGCGTACTCCGTCTGTGTGCGGGGACACGTGGGGGTGGGGGGGGGGGGTGGCGGGGACACACACACACACGTGGAAGATACGTGCGGGGAACTCAGCTGGGGGAGATGCAGTGACTGCAGCGAGAGCCTGGAGCACCATCCGCCCCCCCTGGGGTGGCTGCGGCTGGTCCCGCGCACCTCTGATTAGCAAGGTTGGCTACGTAGGGTGCGAAAGAAGTTCAACATACATACATCCTCCTTACCCACCCCGCTTCCTCAACGTCCAAGCATATACACGGAGACATATAGGCATATATAGAGACACGAAGAGACGACACACGTAGAAGAAAAATCACAGGAGTGCGACTGTGGCCATGCAACTCAAGCCACGGACGGCACAGCAATCCCACTATGGACTGCGCTCCTTCAACGCAGGAGGAGGAGCAGCGACACGACACGAACTCTCTCTCTGCTGCAGCCCCCTCTCGTCGTGGCCAGCAACAGCAGCAGCAGCACCTCGACATTGGCGTCGAGCTCCTGAGCCACGTGGCTGCCGCTGTCATCATGGTCAAACTCGATTCGTCCGCACGCGAGACTTTGTGCGGCTCTTCCTTTTAAGCCACGAGGGGGCGATACCTCCCCGCGTTCACTGGGCTCAGGGTCGAGTGGGGGGAGGGTTTCCTAGGGGGGGAGGGGGCGTGGGGGGGGTTACGGAGGCTCGAGTAGATGGTGTCCGCGTTTGCAGCGTGGCGAATGCGAATCAACGTATCGGGGGAAACGTTCCGAATAGCCTCCTCCGGTCAACTTCCGCAAAAGGCTAACTTCTTCCGTCAACTCTCGCCCCCTCGAGCGGTCAACCCGGAGGCGGCCGTCCTCCACCAGTCCTCACCTCCACCTTCTCCACCACCTGCTTGCCGAAGGAGCACACTTTGGTGGAGCAGGTGATGGTCATGTTGTCGGCGCTCTCGTACTGGCTCGTCACGCCGTAGAAGGCGCCCGTGTCGTCCTGCGTGCTCGTGTTCAGGTCGGCCTGCACGCAGCCGCCACCACGATGATCGCCGCCATCCATCATCATCATCGTCGTCACATCACCACAGTCGCCAGCGTCAATCACCGACAATCACCGTCACACCACCACGGTCGCCAGCGTCAATCACCGACAATCACCGTCACGCCACCACGATCGCCAGCGTCAATCACCGACAATCACCGTCACATCACCACGGTCGCCAGCGTCAATCACCGACAATCACAGTCACATCACCACGATCGCCACCATCAATCACCAACAATCACCGTCACATCACCACGATCGCCAGCGTCAATCACCGACAATCACCGTCACATCACCACGGTCGCCAGCGTCAATCACCGACAATCACCGTCACATTACCACGGTCGCCAGCGACAATCACCGTCACATCACCACGATCGCCAGTGTCAATCATCATCACACCACCACGATCAACACTGTCAATCATCATCACACCACCACGATCGCCCAGAAATTGACCACCCACCGACCACCCCACACTCAGAGAACTCGACCCCTCCACTCACCCAGAACTTGACCTCCCACCCCCCACTGACCCCCACCCCCCACCTCACCCAGAACTTGACGAGGAAGAAGGCGCTCTGGGGACCCCGGTCGTACATCTCCTTGAGGCCCCCCTTCTTCTCCGGGAACTTGTCGTAGATCTGGCGCACGTCCACGGCCTCGAGCAGCGGATCCCCGTGCGAGGGGCTCGACTGCCCGATGTGGACAAACAGGTGCTTGTTGTACTGGGCGGGGGGGGGGGGGGCAAGGGTTGACAGCAAGCACAAAAATCAATTTAACACGTAGTAACAGGCTTTCGCAACCAATATCATCCATAATGCTACGTTTTTTGGGGTTAGCTTGCCTAAATATATAAATGTGTCGTTAAACCCGCCACCGCCCGACACATCCAATTAGTCAGGTTTGTCACGTAAGCAGAACGTGCCAATTCGTTGCTAGTACAGCACGCCACTACAACATTTACCATCTGAGCACGACGTTTCACCAGTAATTACGTGCGGGTTGAACGACACGTTTATATTTACGCGATCTAACCCCAAGAAATCATACAGCATACACAGATCAAGTTAGTAGAATTAAATTTGTATTTCTTTGTATCGGACACCACAGCGTAACGGTCTGCCCACGTTTGTGTCGTAAGACTCTCCACCACCCCACCGGTAAAGTGAAGACGCATAGGAGCGTCTACGAGCGTTCATAGTCATTGTTGTTGCAGCTTGGCCCGGTGAGTTTTCAAGATCAAATTCTCACGACGATCAGCTCACCCTCTCACTCAACCCCCACTCTCTCACGTGCCTCATCACCCCCACACCACACACGCCCTCTCGTCGCTTTCCCTTGACCCACCCCCACTCAGCTCACCCACTCATCCGTTTCCTCCTCACCACCACCCCTACACCACTCACCACCTTCAACAAGAAACCTCTCCACAGCAATCGCTCACACAACGCACGTGAGAGATGGGGGTCACAGCAGCAGCAGCAGGAGGAGGAAGAGGTGGTGGAGGGTGGAGGAGGAAGGAGGAGGAATTCGCACACAACAGCGGTGACGTCACCACGGCGCTTTGTGCCAGGCTAGGTGCAGCGACACAGATCCTCGAGTACAGCCTTAACAGGCTGTTTGGGGCAAGTGCTGTAAGCGAGTAGCAGCTATTAAGGCCGGAACAGCACACGAGGGGGTGGGTGGCCAGCACCATGCCCGGATGCCTTTGTCTCCCAGGTACTCAATCGAGGCCGAGTCGACGTAGGGGAGGCCCAGGACCGGTTTCAGATATAATCCGTCACTGGTGTTGGTTGGCCGTGAGCGGGAATCAAACTCGGGCCGCCCGGTTCGAAGCGCGGCGCACTAGCCGCTACACTACACGCTGCACTACCGCTCCCCAGCGTGCCAGGCTAGGTGCACACAGGCACACACGTGCAGCGGGAGCTACAATCGAGGGATTTCCACCCCCCGCCCTGTGGATAATTCCCGTTGGCTCTTTGTGTGGGCCAATCAGAGCAGCACACCCCGGGCGTATATATTTATATTCCACCCCCCCCCCCCTCGGGTTCAGGCACAAAGAGGCCAATTTTTTTGCCTTTAAAGACGCGGGTGGAGGAGGGGGGGGGGGTAGGCGGGGGGCGGGGTTCTCGTCCAGATGTCGGGAGCTCGGGAGCAAGGTGCTCCACATCGCTCGCATAGCTCCCATCCCGGCCTCCGTCACCGATTACCCGTACAAAAACACACACACACACACACACGTGGGGTTGGAGTTGATTTTTTTTATATTAAGTACCCACGCAGAAGAGAAAGATCCCCCCTGTATAGACTTTGACGGACTGTTGGGGCAAGTGCTGTTAGCGAGCAGCTCCTACGAAGGGCTGGGACCGTGCACATCGGGGGTTGGGGTGGCCGGCTTCACTGCCGCGCCGCCTTTGTGCCACGATTGGCGATATTTACGCCAGATGCTCATTTGAGGCTGAGTCGACCTAGGAGAGGCCCTGGACCGGTTCAGATAATCGGTGTTGGCGGCCGTGAGCGGAAATCGAGGTCGGCTCATAGCGCAGCGCGTGCTAACCACTGCGCCACCGCTCCCCACACTCCGGACGCACGCACGGTCATGCACCACACGCATGTACCCACACATGCTCACGCACCGCACGCACGCACCCCTACCGACCATCCTGCCAAGTGTGGTTTTACCCTCTCGCCCTGCTTGACAGAACTCAAACCTGACCAGACTAAACCATAACATTGCAATGTCGTTTACGCACGACAGACACATATCCCTCTCCACTCGGTAGCCTCTTGGTGGAGAGCGCTGTGAGTGGGCAGCTACGAAGGCCGACAATGAGAGATCGGTGTGTGGCTAACGCCGTGCCCGGCTGCCTTTGTCTCCCCAATGCTGATGTTTAGACACACCGGACAGTGTACTGATTTGAGGCTGACTCGACCTAAGGGAGGTCAAGGACCAGTTCGGATATTCCCCACCGATGCTTCAAAATGTAAACTCTGGCTGGTGATTATAAAATAAACTTATAATCAACACCCACTCCCCCCTTCTCTATCCAACCATCCATCTCACCAATTAACCAATCAATTAAAACCTCAGACCGCCCACCGCCGCCCGCCCCCCACGCCCCCAACTCACGGTGTCGGCGTCCCGTTGCTGCTCCAGGAAGGCCGAGAACTCGACGAGTCGCAGCTTCGAGGTGCCGATGGAGCGGCCCTGCCACGCGGGGCCGACCGCCGTGGCCACCAGGCCACCCGTGCTGGGGTCGTAGCCGCCTGGGGGGGGGGGGGGGGGAGATGGCGAGGGAGGTGGGGGGACGGACGGAGGGGGCAGGATAGAGGTAGTTAACATCTCCCCACGGTGGCGAGATGTTAACTACCTCACCTGGTATACAGGAGGCCGTGCGTTCGATCCCAACGCTGACGCCTGCTGTATATTTGGAGTTTCCGTGTGTCTCTCCCGGTGGTCGCGTGGATTTTTCTCCGCGATGGCGATTGACGATTTACAGTGGTGTTGATGATCGCTGATTAATGATCGTGATGATGATTTACGATTGATCATGACGATACAAAAAAAACAGGCAACTTTGAGCAACAACATTAACAATATAATAAATATACTGTCATGATGATAATATCATGATGATATCATCATCATCATGTTTGTGTAAGGCCACGTGGTAGTTTTTCAATGCCAAAATACTTGCCATTCAACCTCCACCACCCGACAAGACTGTCACGTGTGTGTGTTGTCCCGTGTCGGGAGTCGAACCGGTCACCTGGGATGGGCGTGGGGATGCTCGTCTGCATGGGGTACGCGGGTTGTGCAAACGGCTTCACACTATGGGGGGGGGGGTAGAGGAGGGGGAGGGAGGGGGTTCGAAGTGGGGGTTGGGGGGGGAGTTAGGGTTAGAGGATTCCTCTTCACCCGGTTACTTTTCTTCTGGTGGACGTCCGTGCGAGTCTTCCAGGTCTCTATGCCAAGTCTACGTGACTTTACGTGGGTATTTGACTCTACTTGAGACGATGTTTCTATGCAACTCGATGGGTCTATATGTAACTCTATGTGTCTCTATGTGAATGTTTGAGTCTCTACGTGAGTCACTGGTGACCGGGCTGAGCCCATCAACTTCACTCCACTTGAGAATCCGGTTTAATGACGGAGGGGGCAGGTGGCTGGGTGGGTAAGTGGCTGGGTGGGTAGGTGGCTGGGTGGGTAGGTGGCTGGGTGGGTAGGTGGCTGGGTGGGTAGGTGGCTGGGTGGGTGGGTAGGTGGCTGGGTGGGTAAGTGGCTGGGTGGGTAAGTGGCTGGGTGGGTGGGTAGGTGGCTGGGTGGGTAAGTGGCTGGGTGGGTTGTTGTCTGGGTAGGTGAGTGGGTAGCTGGGTAGGTGGGTGGATAGGTGGGTAGGTGATGGCTCCACGAGGGGGAGACTCACTCCTGAGCGGACGAGCCTGGCTGCCCGGGAAGACTCCCCGGCCAGAACTGCAACACGAGGAGAGAGGATACAGGGAGGAGGAGGACACGGTGAGAGATGTGTGAATGGCATTGGAGAGGTGGTGGGAGGGGGGAGAAACGCAAACCCCAAATACACAGGCATCAGGGTCGGGATCGAACCCACGACCTCCTGTATACCAGGCGAGGTAGTTAACATCTCCTAGCCACCGCGGCCCCAACCCCCCCCCCCCCCCCCGCGTGTGTGTTGTGAGAAGCGCGCTTCTGCAGGCCACTGACCCCCTGGGCGGGTGGGTAGGGAGGCCGTGGCAGCGCAGGCCCCATGCCCATGGCCTTGCTGTGAATGGCCGTGGCCGAGACGATCTGCGCGCTCGACATGGCCGCCATGCTCTGCAGCGCCTTGTCCTTGGCGTTCTGATCCTTGGCGTGAGACGAAGGGGAGGGGGGGAGAACGACGACGAAGAGGAGGATGATGAAGATGATGAGGAGGCCGGAGACAATATCGAGAGGCAACAGCTGGAACAAACGAGGGGACGCACTTATTCCAGCGTGCAGGGGCCCTCTATCAATCGTGGCGGGACTGTGGTTAGCACGTGATTTAGCACGTGATTTAACACGTGATTAACACGTGCTCGCCACGTGCTCACACAAAGACACCCCGCCCCTCCCCCGTGTAGCCCACACACAAAGTGGTTGGGGCAAGCGCTCCTAGCAAACACCTTTAGGGCCGAGTGAATGCGGGGGGGGGGGCAGCTACCACGCCCGCCCGCCTTTGACTCCCCAGCGTCAATGTTTGCACACCACGCACTCGGTACGCATTTTACGGCTGAGTAGACCTATCGAAGGCCGGACTGGTTCGGATAATCGTCACGTGTTTGGCCGGGAGCGGGAAAACAATCTCGGCTGGTCGAGTTGGTAGGGCAGTGAGTGTGCTAACCACTGCGCCACCGCTCAATTACGTACACACGAATATACACACGCGCCCACGGGTAAACATACACAAACACACGTACATACATTCATCTACACACGTACACTCACACTTCCACAGGTAGGGTCACAGATGTAAACACCACACACACATTCCAAAGTATTTACCACATACACGCCCATCCACGCATCGCAACAGATCCACATATTGCACAAAGACCCCCCCCCCCCCCCGTATACAATTGTACAGAGTCTTGGGGCAAGTGCTGTTAGCGAGCACCTACGAAGGCCGTCATGGCATCCAAGGAGGGTGGGTGGCCAGCACCACGCCCGGCTGCCTTTGTCTCCCAAGTGGAGATGTTTAGGCACAACACCGGGTACTCATTTGAGGCTGAGTCGACCTCGGGGAGGCCCTGGACCGGTTAAGATATCCGTCACAGATGTTGGTCTTGAAGGGGAATCGAACTGGGGACACCGTGGTACATACACAAACACACACATGCAAATACCCCCCTGTATAGCCTTGTACGGGCCGTTGTGGCAAGTGCTGTTAGCAGTGCATACACACGCGCACGCAGTGTCACAGTTCCACCACAGTGAACTCAGACCCTGCCCGGGTCGTCCGCGTCTTTGCATGCAGAGCTGGGGGGCTGATGGGGGGCGGGGGGGGGCTAATGGGGGGGGCAGTTGGGGGCTGTGTTAGCGCTTGGCTAAGCGTAATCGTGCACACACAGTGAGCATAGCGCACGCACACACGCGCATGTATACATACACACACACTCACAAAGACAAAGATAACCCAAATAGCCTTTAACAGACTGTCGGGCCAAGTGCTGTTAGCGAGCACCTATGAAGGCCGGCACGGCGCACGAGGGGGTGGGTGGCCGACACCACGCCGGGGCAGCCTTTGCCACACCCAACGCTGATGTGATTTACACCCCCCACCAGGTACTCATGTTGAAGGCAGAGTAGACCCAGGGGCCAGCCCCCGGAGCGGTTCACAAATCTGTCACCAATGTTGGCCGTGTTAAGGATTTGAATTCTGGGGTCACCGGGTTGGAATCGCAGTGCCCTAACCACTAGGCCACCGCTCCCCCCCCCGCCCCCCGTCTCCACACACACACACACACTCACGCGCTCGCACGCGCATCCGCAAAGCACGCATGCTTCATAAGCATTATTTGCTCTCGCGCTGTTATTGAGGCTTCGGGGGGGCTGGGGGGAGCGGGCTGGGGGGGAGAGGGTCGATGCCCCCCAACCCCGGTGCATGCACGCTCCCCCGCCCCCCTGTATCCATTAGGCATGGGAACGCGCACGCAGAAGCGGTCTCCATCAGTTATTACAATTTGGGGGGGGGGGGGCTCCAATTGTTATCATCTCTATAGATATATTGGGGGGGAGGGCGGGGGGGCAATCCCCCTTTCCCCCCGAGTGTGAATTGTTTTCGAATTCGGTAATAATAATAATAAAAACCCTCAATATTTTAATAGCCGCAATGCACCGTGAATACGAGACGGTGGTGGTGGTGCTTAGTGAATAACTGTCACGAAGCGGTCCTTGATGAGCCGCATGCAGCTCCAGAGCCGCAGATTGCCGACCCCTGCCCACGGTGAACCAAACTTCCATGGTGAACTGGACTCTCATGGTGAACTGGACATCCATGGTGAACTGGACATCCATGGTAAAGTTGACTTCCATGGTAAAGTTGACATCCATGGTAAAGTGGACTTCCATGGTAAAGTGGACTTTCATGGTAAAGTGGACTTCCATGGTAAAGTAGACTCCCATGGTAAACTGGACATCCATGGTAAAGTGGACTTCCATGGTGAACCGGACTCCCATGGTCAGGGATCGGCAAGTGAAATAACGAAGAGCTGCTATTTTTGTATTCGAATTTCAACGATGGAGCCACTGCAGCTCCTGAATGGGCCACCTCGTACGCGGCGGCTACGGAGAGCGGCAGCTGCCCGAGCCCAGCGCTCGTGCGGCCGCCCTGGGCTGCTGCTGCTGAACCCGAGAGAAGCAAAGGGAGGGCGGGGGAGTTGGGGAGGGGGCGCTTTGGGAGTGGGGGGTGCTAAGCCGGGGGGGGAGGGGTGGGGGGTCGTGCCTATACTTACCATGTTCATTGCCTGCATAGAACGGGATTGTAAACAGAGAGAAGGAATAGACGCGCGAGTTACAATCACGTGCGAGCGATGATCGCAATCATGATATCGGCAGCAACAGGCAGTCAAACCACCACCACCACCACCAACCACAACAATCATGAACACCACCGCAAACACAGCAGCAGCAGCACCAACAAGCATCAGCAACCGCGACAATAACCATCAACACCACCACCATTACCACCGTGACATCAATGACAACGGAAGCAATAACACCACATCAACCAACACCACCACCAAAACAACAACGACAACGGTGGCGGCAACGTAACACACGACACACACACATACGACAGAGGTAAAGATCCCCCGTTGAGCCTGGAACAGACTATTGGGGCAAGCGCTGTTATCGAGTATGAAGGCCGTCACTGCACACGAGGGGGTGGGTGGCCAGCACCACACACGCCCGGCCACCTTTACACACACAAATACATACACACACAAGTACACACACACACAAGTACACACACACACACACACAAGTACACACACACGCACAAGTACACACATACACAAGTACACACACACACGCACAAATACACAAGTACACACACACACGCACAAGTACACACATACACAAGTACACACATACACAAGTACACACATACACAAGTACACACATACACAAGTACACACATACACAAGTACACACACACAAGTACACACACACAAGTACACACACACACAAGTACACACACACAAGTACACAAGCACACACACACAAGTACACACACACACAAGTACACACACAAGAACACACACACAAGTACACACATACACAAGTACACACACACACAAGCACGCACACACACAAGTACACACACACACAAGTACACACATACACAAGTACACACACACAAGTACACACACACACAAGTACACACACACACAAGTACGCACACACAAGTACGCACACACAAGTACACACACACACACAAGTACACACACACAAGTACACACACACACAAGTGTACACACACACAAGTACGCACACACAAGTACACACACACACAAGTACACACACACACACGTACACACACAAGTACACACACAAGTACACACACACACAAGTACACACACACAAGTACACACACACAAGTACACACACACACAAGTACACACATACACACAAGTACACACACACAAGTACACACACACACGTGTACACACACACAAGTACACACACACAAGTACACACACACACAAGTACACACACACACACAAGTACACACACACACAAGTACACACACACGCGCCCACGTGCTCGAGAATGAATTGGTGCGGAGTGCGATGGGGCCGAGGCCCGGCGGCGCGCCCCAGCGGGCCTCGAGCTCGCCATAGTAACGGCCCAATTCCGAGAAGATCATCGCCATCATTATTATTATCATCATTACCATAGCAATCATGATTATCATCATAGCCATCATTATAATCTATGCCCTTCTCACACCCCGTGTGTCAATGCCCTTCTCATCTCACACCCCGCGTGTCAATGCCCTTCCCGTCTCACACCCCGTGTGTCAATGCCCTTCTCACACCCCGTGTGTCAATGCCCTTCTCACGCCCCGTGTGTCAATGCCCTTCTCACACCCCATGTGTCAATGCCCTTCTCACACCCCGTGTGTCAATGCCCTACCCTTCTCATGCCCCGTGTGTCAATGCCCTTCTCACACCCCGTGTGTCAATGCCCTTCCCGTCTCACACCCCGTGTATCAATGCCCTTCTCATCTCACACCCCGCGTGTCCATGCCCTTCTCACGCCCCGTGTGTCAATGCCCTTCTCATCTCACACCCCGTGTGTCAATGCCCTTCCCTTCTCACACCCCGCGTGTCCATGCCCTTCTCACGCCTCGTGTGTCAATGCCATTCTCATCTCACACCCCGTGTGTCAATGCCCTTCTCACACCCCGTGTGTCAATGCCCTTCTCTTCTCACACCCCGCGTGTCAATGCCCTTCTCATCTCACACCCCGTGTGTCAAGGGCCTTCTCACACCCCGCGTGTCAAGGCCCTTCTCACACCCCGTGTGTCAATGCCCTTCTCTTCTCACACCCCGCGTGTCAATGCCCTTCTCATCTCACACCCCGTGTGTCAAGGGCCTTCTCACACCCCGCGTGTCAAGGCCCTTCTCACACCCCGTGTGTCAATGCCCTTCTCTTCTCAGACCCCATGTGTCCATGCCCTTCTCAGCTCACACCCCGTGTGTCAATGCCCTTCTCTTCTCACACCCCGTGTGTCAATGCCCTTCTCATCTTACACCCCGTGTGTCAATGCCCTTCTCATGCCCCGTGTGTCAATGCCCTTCTCACACCCCGTGTGTCAATGCCCTTCCCGTCTCACGCCCCCCGACTCTCCGTATCCAAAGCGGCCATGTGCGTCAGCAACACCCAATTAGAGGCTCCGCTAATTGGTGGGGGAGGTGGAGGGAATAGGGGAGATGGGGGGGGGATTGGGGGGGGGCATGACCATGACCCCCTCCTTCCCCCCCCCACTTTCCCCCAGCTTTGTCCGCCCCGTTACCCCTGGCGATGGTGCAAGTTCCTTGTGAATGTTACTCGTTACCACGCTCACAATGCGTTGCGCTGTGCGCGCACAAAAGGTAAATTGTGTAATCAGTTGATGTGTAAATTGCGCGCGGTCGTTCTACAGCCGCGTGTTGTGTCTCTCCCCTGCTGGATGACCCCCCCCCCCCACGCCGTGCGGGTGTTAAGGGGGGGGGAGGGTTGATAGGGGTTATTTGACCATACTTCACCGCACAGGTGTATGTGGGCTGGTGCAGGCGTGGGAGCACAGGCGTACAAATGAATAGCGGATGTTGTTGCTTCACTGCCTGTCTGCCGCTACTGTTGACCTGCTCACAAAGTCATCCCGCAGTCGTCTATGGCGAGCAGTATGACGAGTAATGTTAGCCCCAATTCAGGCGAGATCGGGAGCGAGAGGGTGATTATTGTGTATCCACAAATGGGTCTCAAGACTCTCTCATCAGCAGGGTCCATCTATTGTGGCATGTATGACCGATTTCATCATTTAGTACTGAATTAGTCCCCACGCCAACCCACACTGACCAGCGCGCTGAAGTGTGTTCGAACAGACACCAACCATGACCGATAGGGGCATGGATGAGAGTGACCTTCAATCAGGCAGTGGATTGATAAAGGGATGTGCATTGTTATTATAGTCATAATTGTTATTAAAATTAATTATTTAGAAACGCCAGTGTGGGAGGAAATTGATTGATTCCGGGAGGAAATTAGCACGCGAGAGGATAGCGCACGGCATCAAGGTAATGGAGGCAAACCTACTTGCTGCACTGCAATAAGAGGCGACCTACTTGCTGCACCGCAATCTACAAAGCACCCTCCTCGTTCAACAGCCGCTCCCCCCCTCTCCCTCGCAGCGGTAATGAGCGAGGGGCGTGTGGGGCTGGGGCAGCCAAGGGGTGGGGGACAGTCACTAAACAAGCCGCGATTTAGTGGCGGGCGATTGAAAGGAAATTCAATTTTCGTTTTTTGCTTTGTCCGCCCTAATTGGACGCGATGTTTGAGTCACGAAAAATCCGGAGCTGGTTTCTCGGCAGCTTCCCAGGCCAACGACCCCCCCCATCACCCCCCCCCCCCCACACACCCCTCCCCCTACAACCTTCCCCTACACCTCTCCACCACACCCCCTACATCTCCCCACGTAACACACACAACACAACACACACAACACAACACACACAACACAACACATGTCCCAAGAATGCATTGACAAACACCGAGAGCACGTGCACACAGGACACGTGCACACAGGACACGTGCACACACACATACACCCCCCCACAATTACATAGGGACACAAAAGACAAAGACCACCATTATAGCCTTTAATAGGCTGTAGGGGCAAGTGCTGTTGGCGAGCTGCACCTCTGAAGGCCGGTACGACACACCAGGGGGTGCCACACACACACACTACATCGCACACACAAACCCAAACACACACACGCAGACATCATGAACACACATCCGCGCCTCCGATTAGCACTAGTTGGCTACGCACGGTGCGAACGAAGTTCCACATATGTACATTAACACAGACACGACCACATGTGCATGAAGTCCCACCGCATGCACAGACACGCGGACACACACGCACAGGTACACAACGCACACACACACACACACGGATATACACACGCACACACGAACACACAGGTACACACCGCACACACACAAGGATATACACACACAGGTACACACCGCACACACACACACGGGTAGACACCGCACACATCACACACGCGGGGACACACAGCGCACGTGGTTGTGGTTCAGGGATGGAGGAGATGGCAGGAGGAGGAGGAGCGGCAGCGGCCCGGGTGCTGTGGAAAAACCGCGGAGCCGAACGCGCGCCCGCCGCTGCCGCCGCTGCTGCGGCCTCACGAAGTGCTCCGCGTGGCGGTCACCAATCATCGGTGCGTGCGGCGTGTAACGAATTCGAATTTTGAATTTGAACGGGTGGGGCGGACTTGAGGGTGAAAAGGCCCGCGACAAAGGGGCCGTGCGCACCGCGGTCAAACCGAAGTTCGCGAAGCCGCACTTTGTTTTTGTTTAGGATGTTCAATCCATAATAACAAAAAACGGCCTTCGCTTGTAGCTAGACGACGAGACACCCCCACTCGCACTCTCCTCCCTCTCCCCTCTCATCTCACTCCACTCCCCTCCACGCACTCTCCTATATCTCCCCTCTAATCTCACTCTACTCACCTCCATGCACTCCCCTACCTCTCCCCTCTCATCTCACTCTACTCCCCTCCACTCACTCTCTCCTACCTCTCCCCTCTCATCTCACTCTACCCCCGTCCACACTCTCTCCTACCACTCCCCTCTCATCTCACTCTACTCCCCTCCATGCACTCTCCTATATCTCCCCTCTCATCTCACTCTACTCACCTCCACTCACTCTCCTACCTCTCCCCTCTTATCTCACGCTACTCCCATCCCCGCACTCCAATACCTCTCCCCTCACATCTCACTCTACTCCCCTCCACTCACTCTCTCCTACCTCTCCCCTCTCATCTCACTCTACCCCCGTCCACACTCTCTCCTACCACTCCCCTCTCATCTCACTCTACTCCCCTCCATGCACTCTCCTATATCTCCCCTCTCATCTCACTCTACTCACCTCCACTCACTCTCCTACCTCTCCCCTCTTATCTCACGCTACTCCCCTCCCCGCACTCCAATACCTCTCCCCTCACATCTCACTCTACTCCCCTCCACTCACTCTCTCCTACCTCTCCCCTCTTATCTCACTCCACTCCCCTCCACGTACTCTCCTACCTCTCCCCTCTTATCTCACGCTACTCCCCTCCACGCACTCCCCTACCTCTCCCTTCTCATCTCACTCTACTCCCCTCCCCGCACTCCCCTACCTCTCCCCTCTCATCTCACTCTACTCCCCGCACTCCCCTACCTCTCCCTTCTCATCTCACTCTACTCCCCTCCCCGCACTCCCCTACCTCTCCCCTCTCATCTCACTCTACTCCCCGCACTCCCCTACCTCTCCCTTCTCATCTCACTCTACTCCCCTCCCCGCACTCCCCTACCTCTCCCCTCTCATCCCACTCTACTCCCCTCCACGCACTCTCCTACCTCTCCCCTCTCATCTCACTCTACTCCCCTCCACTCACTCTCCTACCTCTCCCCTCTCATCTCACTCTACTCCCCTCCACGCACTCCCCTACCTCTCCCCTCTCATCCCACTCTACTCCCCTCCACGCACTCTCCTACCTCTCCCCTCTCATCTCACTCTACTCCCCTCCACTCACTCTCCTACCTCTCCCCTCTCATCTCACTCTACTCCCCTCCACGCACTCCCCTACCTCTCCCTTCTCATCTCACTCTACTCCCCTCCCCGCACTCCCCTACCTCTCCCCTCTCATCTCTACTCACCTCGACTCCCCTCCACGCGCACTCGCTACCCCAGCAACCAAGGCTCTCTGTGGAAGTCCCCTGTCAAACGTCGTCGTTCAGTGGCGCGGTCGCTCATTCTCCTCTGCTGCCCCCACGGCCTGAAACTGCCTTCCCCCAGCGGTCCGCGCTGCCGACGCCGCAGTTTAAGTCCACGCTTGAAAGCTTTCCTCTCCTCCTACTCTGATTGTGACTGCCTCTCTCTCCCCCTCCTCCGAGATGAATATGCCCACTCTCAACGTGCAGGCGTCACAGGATGCCGGTGGCGATTCAAGCACGGCTATCGTACGAATCCAGATTTTGTATCGTCACCAGAATGCCATCGCAACTGAAAGTCACTTTTTACACGTCAGCAGTGCCTCTGACAACCAACATGAGACAAGCCTGGGCAGGCACACAGCCAGTGGCTGTGTGTGCGTGTAATGTGTGTGTGTGTGCGTGTGTGTGTGTGCGTGGCGTGTGTGTGTGTGTGTAATGTGTGTGTGTGTGGCGTGTGTGTGTGCGTGGCGTGTGTGTGTGTGTGCGTGGCGTGTGTGTGTGTGTGCGTGTAATGTGTGTGTGTGTGCGTGGCGTGTGTGTGTGTGTGTGTGCGTGGCGTGTGTGTGTGTGTGTGCGTGGCGTGTGTGTGTGCGTGTGCCTGACTGCTGCACGGAAAGAAGAACCGTTAGATGGGAGTAGCTTCATCCTCCTGTGTTTCCAATCTTTGAGCCATACCACGTAGCACGCGCCAATTGAAAACTCTCCTCCCTACCGCGCCATTGGCGACATCCCACGGCATGCGGACTGCCAGCGGAGCTCCCGCAGAGCGATGCTGCTTCACCGCGCGGATGTTGATATTGCAGAACTACTTCCGAGTGACCCTTTCGAGTGACGCTCCTTCATTTCGCGCACTTGGACGGATGTCCATCGCGCGGCACATATAAAAATGCCCGACAAATGTAGCCACCAATCCAAATCGGAATCGCATTTATTTTGACTGGAGGAATCCGATGAGCTGTGAAGCTCTTTGTCCGCAGACGTCCGGTCGCATGACGAGATAGAGACGCGCGTGCGGACTCGCTGCTGGCGACCGGGCTGCCGGCGAGACGATCTCGCACGGCGTGCAAAAGTAGGCCAGCATTCCCCAATCTACGCGTTCTAGACTCCGTTAATTTGACCGCGCAGCGTGAAAGCCCGTCTTGATCGTCACCGCGCTCGGGCGGCCGAAAGCCTGGATTCGAACTCGGGGGTCTCTCGGCGGTGCCGGCTGCTCGCTCGCCGCGTCTCCGGCACGGCCGTCGCCAAGCCACGCGGCTGAGTCGGGCGGCAGCGGAGGCGGTGGCCCGCGCGGTTTTTGACACGGGAGGGGCATTTGTGGGGGGGGGGGGTCGGGGGGGCGCAGGAGAAGGAAGCGGCCTGGGACGAAGCAAGCGTTGGGACAGAGCTAAGCGAGAGAGAGCCAAGCGAGAGAGCTGAAGTGGCGGTAGGAGGGGGAGCGTCAACCCAAGAAGGAAGGGAGAGAGGGGGGAGAGAGCGGAGGGCCAGTGGGGGGGGGGGGGGGGGGGGAGGGGGGGCACAGCCAGAAGCAAGCGGCGGCCGCACAAGCGCAGCTCGTACCTTGAGCTTGGCCTGAATCTCACGCGCTTTTCGCCGGGCAAGCACCTGAATGTGACTAGAGACCTGCGGGCGAGGAAGGAAGAAAAGAGTGGGGGAAGGGGGGGGGGGGCACGGAGGAGAATGTGGGGGGGGGGGGGATCGGGGGGTAGGCGGGGGTTCCAAGAAGGAGATGCGGCGACAGGGAACAGACGGACAGGGCCAAAGGAAGAGGAGACCAACAACGAGACAGGAGGACAGAGGAAATAATTAAGATGGAAAGGAGAAAATTGCCTTAAGTATTCCCAAGTGCAGCAGCCACGAGCACCGTTCAAGTAGCCTGCAGCCTCAGCAGCAGTAGCAGCAGCGGGCAGCCTTCGCCATTCCAGAGGCCAGACACAGGACCTTGAGATGGAGAGGGGGGGGGGGGGCGGCTGGCCGGGGTGGGGGGGGCGGGGGGGCTGAGAGGGAGTGGGGGATGAGGAGCGGGGGGGGGGGGGTCACGTACCTTGATGCTGGCTTGGATCTCGCGCACTTTCTTTCTCGCCAGCACCTGTATGTGACTAGAGACCTGGAGCGCCCGATGGCAATGCACACGCGTTACACACACACCCACGGCGACTGCCCCGGGCCCCGCACTTTTTTGGGGGGGGGGCGGCTCGCTTCAACGTAACGGTCTCAGGTGTCAAGATGTAATACTTCTCATTTATTTCCCGGGGGGGGGGGGGCCACACAGTGGGGTTTGCCACGGATCCCGCACCACCGCTCTATCGATGACCCTGATTATTACGATAACAGAATGTTTATTAATACTGGAGGAATCGGATGAGCTATAAAGCTCTTCTTCACAGATGCCCAGTAGTTCACAGATGTCCAGCAGTTCACTCTATGAACAGGATTCACAGTGCCGCGCGCTCACCACCACCACGACCACCACCGCTCTACCCCCAGCCACTCCACGGCGTGCAGTCCAAAGCGACGATTGAAGTCGCATCCACTTAGAGGCGCTAACGGGACGGTCAGCAGGCACTGAGAAGTGTGAGTGCGTGTGGAATCGTGGCAAAGACAAAGATCCCCCGTATAGGCTATAACAGACTGTAGGGGCAAGTGCTGTTAGCGAGCAGCACCTATGAAGTCCGGAACGGCACACGAGGGGGTGGGTGGCCAGCACCACGTCCGGGCCGCCTTTGTCTCCCCAGTGGCGATGATTATCTTTGCCTTGGAGTCGCGACGCAGTGGTGAGCGCACCGCGCTGTGAATCCAGTGATTCACCCGATCCGACCTCGGCTCTCGCTCCCTCCCCCGAGGTAGAATCATCTTGAAATGAACGCCCGGTGCCGTGTGTGAACATTAGCACCGGGGAGACAAAGGCGGTCGGGCGTGGTTGCTGGCCACAACAACAGACTTCTCCTGCCCCCCAGATGAGCAATGTTGTCGTCATTCATTGCAAGGCTGTGATGGGTGGCCTGCCGCTCACACGCTCCTGTGAAGACGGAGCGCGCGGGGCCCCACCTGCGGGCCAGGTGAGGAGCGGGGGAGGGGTGTCGGGGGAGGGGCGAGGCTTTGGGGGGAGGGGCGGGGTTTGGGGGGAGGGGCGGGGTTTCATGGGGGGGGGGTATTGGGGAAGGGGCGGGGTTTTTTTAGGTGGGGGGGGGGGTGTCTGGGGATGGTAGCGGGGGGGGATTGGAGACTTGGGAGGAGGGGCCGGATATCGGTAGGCGGGGCTTGAATGCCAAGGGAGGAGGAGTCAAATTAGACGGGGAGGAGTTAAGGGGGCCGTGGAAAGGGTGGGGCGGTGGAAAGGGTGGGGCGAGGGGGATACGGTGGGGGGTTCCGGTGGGGGGGGGGGCTGAAGGGGCCAAGGGGAGGGGCAGGCCCCCTGTCTCACCTGTTTGCGTGTCCGTGTCTTTCCCGTTCGAAGTTTGATGTACCTGGCTATGAGTTCATTCCGTCCTGGGTACACACAGCACACACACACAGCACACACACACAGCACACACACACAGCACACACACACAGCACACACACACACAGCACACACACACACAGCACACACACACACAGCACACACACACAGCACACACACACAGCACACACACACAGCACACACACACAGCACACACACACAGCACACACACAGCACACACGGCACTCCATTAGCACAGAAGCTGTTAGCGAGCGCCGATTGAGGCAGCCGCAGCGCACGACGAGTGGATGGGCCCAGCAAGTGGCCTCATCAGATTTGTGTTCACTTCGTGCGAAGTTGTCCGCGGGGAGACCCAACCCAGATATATAGATTACCGATTTCCACTGAATGCATGGAATGTTATGGTTGAATTAAAATGGGACGTGTATAACCAAATAACCGAATCTGAACCTGGACTTGAAGGCAGTTCACAAATTAAAACCCCACTAATTTCCAAATACATTACCATGATTATCATCATCAGCATGATTATCATCAGCAGCCAGATTGAAATTCAAAACTACAACCATGTATCATCATCAGCAGCAACAACAACAACATGCCTTACCACTAAAATAATCATCAGCAACAAACATTCCTAACTGCCATCGTCATTATCATCATCATCAGCATTGACATTCATAACCATCACCACTATCATCATCATGTCAGCAGCAGCAAATACAAAGTCGAATTATTTGATGATGCTGCTGCTGGTGCTCTATTGACAGTGATTGGTGCACCAACACAACCAAAACAACTCGACAAAGTCGTCAAAAACAACACCGTGGTCTTCACGCGAACAAAACGTGTATTATAGGCGACGTTTCGGGTAGCGGCCCTTCCCCAAAAGCACGTGCAGTACGGGGGGCAGCCCACACACGTCCCCCGGTACCACCCAGCATCGCTCACTCGGCACAATCTCTCGAAGGTGGGCGACACGTGCGCAGGTGTGGTGGGGTAGTGTGCGAGCGACTCCCGCCGTCTTCCAAGACGATCTGGCACAGCGTGTAGGCCACCATTCCCCCACTCTGTGTTCTAGACTCGGCAGGAGCTCTCAGTAAACATGGTAGCCACGGTGGCTATGAGATGTTAACTACCTCGCCAAGTTTCGATTTAAAGCTTTCGTGACTGCAGGGATGCATATTCTTGGTTCTTTTGGTAAAGTCACCACGTAGAAGGGAAATGATAAAATAATACAAAATAAAACTAGTATAAAGGAGGTCGTGGGTTCGAACCCGGCCCTTATGCCTGCTGTATATTTGGAGTTTGCGTGTCTCTCTCCCCGTGGTCGCGTGGATTTTCCTCCGGGTCCTGTTTTTTTTTCCCCTCCGCATTTCGAATAAACATCACGCGTTCAGAGTATTTGGCTACTTCTAGAAATTTCCACGTGACGATGATAAGCCACTTCGTTGAGCTCCCATTTGTGATAGCCAGGTCGCTCCTGAAAAAAAAGAGCTACAAAGGCAGGCTTTACCTGGTAAAATAAAACATAGTTTAGTTTGTATGTATGTATGTATGTTCAACTTCTTTCACACCGTACGTAGCCAACCGCACTAATCGGAGGAGCTCTCTCTCTCTCTCTTCCTGTCTCGAGCTCCGCTTCGAGTGGACCGTGCTTCCGCCAGCAGCGGCTTGAGCAATGCACTTGCGGTAGCTGCGCCTTGACCACGCGTGACCTTCAAGTAAAATCGCAACCATTTCTGCCGCTGCGGATGATGATGACGATGAAGGATGCCGAGCAGACGTTGACAATGGCTCTCTGAATCCGCTCATATGCGGGCACAAGGTTCGCCGCCACCGTCGCGCTAAATAATATGTTAATTATCAAATCGCGAATGCCTCCTCAAGGTCTCCAAATCCTTTAGCAGCGTAGGCAGACGGGGACACTGCCAGGGTCGCTCCCCGTGTCAGTGTTCGAAACACACACGCACACACACAAACACACACGCGCAAACACAAACACACACACAAACACACACAAACACACACACACAAATACACACAAATACACACACACACGCACACAAATACACACACACGCACACACACGTACGCACACACACACAAATACACACACACAAATACACACGCACACAAACACACACACACGCACACGCGCAAACACAAACACACACGCACAAACACACACACACAAACACACACAAACGCACACACACACAAATACACACACACACGCACACAAATACACACACACACGCACACAAATACACACACACGCACACACACGTACGCACACATACACACACACAAATACACACGCACATACACACAAATACACACGCACACAAACACACACACACACGCACACAAACACACACACACGCACACACAAACAAACACACGCACACACACACAAGCACACACACACAAACACACGCACACAACCAAACACACACAAAAACACACGCACACAACCAAACACGGACACACACAAACACACACACAGAAACACACAAACACCAATACCCGCCATTCGCCACTAAGTGACGGTGACGTCACCACGGCGCCTGTGCCAGGCCAGGTGCACGTTGAGGCCACGTGAAGTGTCGAAGGCTCGCTGACAGGAGGTCTCGGGACAGGCCCAGGTGCCATGGGTTGGCTGACTGAGATGACCGGTAGATGCACCAGCTGTATCCTCTATTGTGCCAACTTGATTCATTTTTGCCGCCCGGCGTTCCGCTCGTTGTTGTGAGCGTTGCTCCTCTTCCCTCAGTTGTTGCTGGAGGGAGACTGCCTCCAACTGCCCAGGAGCGTCCTTCACGAGCCTCCTCCATAGAGGCCGATCTTGACACCGCTGGTACCAGTCGTCGGCAAGTCCACTCAGCTCCACATGCTCCCGTACTGCATCAGCTTCATCTCTTCTCCAGCCCATGTCGTGCCCTTTTAGCCCCCTCTACGTGGCCAAACAGAAGCTGGATGAGCATGCGGTGGCTGGGCATGTGGGCTACATGACCCAGCCTTGCCTGCCGAAGGAGCTCAGTGATGGGATATGTGTTCAGATCTTTCAAGAATTTGTGAACATCTCACACAATCCAGGATGGTTAAACCCAGGATGTATCGTAGGCATGCCAGCCTGAATGTTTCTAACGGGCGCAAATGTTCCATTAGAGGGGTCCACGTTTCACAAGCATAGAGAAGGGAGAGCATGACTGTGGCCGAGAAAACTAGAAGCTTCGTGCGGAGCAACAGACCAGATAGCTTCCACACAGCATTGCGCAGCCGATGAAAAGATAATGTCGCACCACTGATCCGGAGTGAGACATCCACTGTCAAACCGGAGCTGGTCATAAGCACACTGCCTATGGGAAACTCCCCACTCCCTCCACAACTGCTCCATCACCAATAGGAAGCTGAGAGAGTGGAGTGTTTGGTGGCACAAAATACCCAGGCAGGTGCTTAGTTTTGGTGGGGCTGATGGTAAGGCCCCACCTCTTAGTGGCACACTCTATGTTCAGCAGCTGCGCCTCCAACTCCTCCTCTGCGTGAGCAGCAATCACCAGATCATCAGCATACATAATAACATGGTTGACCAATAGAGAGCCATCCCTCGACCGCACCCGAGCATCGATCAGCGTACCGTTATATCTATATAAGATAGAAATTCCTCCGGTACAGCCACGGAAAGCTTCTCGAACTGGAATGTGGTCAAAGTATGATGCACCCCAAGATGAACAGGGAATGGCTCCGACTCCTGGCCACGTGGCTTTACCCGGGCTTGCCCACCATCATGAAGGCCCTTTTTCCAAGAAAGCAGATATGTAGGTCTTGTTGGAATTCCCTACACATCTGCTGTAGCAGAAGGACAGAGAATATGGCATCCTTGCAGGACCACACTGGTCTGAAATTGGGGCTCCGCAATTCTCTCCTCAGCGTGCCTGACAAGGCGATGTTGAATAATCCTTTACAGGACCTTTCCCGGCAAACAAACAAAGGCAAACAGATTGTTGGGGCAAGTGCTGTTAGCGCGCACCTATGAAGGCCAGAACGGCACACGAAGGGGTGGGTGGCCAGCACCACGCCAGGCGGCCTTTGTCTCCCTAGTGGCGATGTTTTTACGCTCCGCACCAGGTACTCATTTAAGGCTGAGTCGAACTAAATTAGGTCCAGGACCGGTTCAAATAATCGTCACTGGTATCGCCGTGAGCAAGAATCGAACTCGGGACGCCAGGTTCGTAGCACAGCGTGCTAACCGCTACTACTGCTCCCCACAACACACAAAGACGCACACACACAAAGACACACACACTCACAGAGTGCTCCACCGTCACTCTCAATATCCTTTGTTGTTGTTGTTGTTGCCTTTAAGTAAGTAAAGCCTTTAATTAATTGAGACGAACACATACACAGACAAGATCCCCCCCCCCTCTCCGTATAACCTCATCAGACATTTGGGGCAAGCGCCGTTAGCGTAGTAGCAACACCTACAAACGTCGGCACGGCACACGAGTCGTGGGGTGGCCAGCAACACGCCCGGCCGCCTTTGTCTCCCTCGTGGCCATGTTTACTACACTACACCGCTACACCAGGTACTCATTTGAGGCCGAGTCGACCAAGGGGTGGCCCAGGGCCGGCTCAGATAATCGTCACCGGTGTTGGTGGCCGTGGGCGGGAATCGAACCAGGGTGGCGTCGGGTTCGTAGCGCAGCGCGCGAACCGAAAATCCTCACTCCAAGCCAGCAGCGTTCCAGAAAATATTTAGTGAGAAATTAATCCCAAGTCATTATGGTTGGCAAATGATGATGTTGAAGATGATGATGTTGTTGATCTTAAATGAAGGCCTCGCCAACCCATCATGACGGTCTTACATCCAACTCAGCGATGACGACGACGATAATAATGACGACGATGTTGTTGTTTGTTGTTGTTGAGTGAAAAAATGTTGGACTTTATTTTGTTAAACAAGATGAGAACCCAACAGACTCGAACAGTCTCATTTGCGAGACTGACCCAACACGCGACAAAG